TGTGTGTGTGTGTGTGTGTGTGTGTGTGTGTGTGTGTGTGTGTGTGTGTGACAGAGTGACAGAGTGACAGAGTCTCAGGTAGCCCAGGCTGGCCTCGAACTCAATATGTAGTGGAGGCTGTCTTGAATAGCTGGTCCTTCTGCCTTTATTCCCCTTTTCTAGGGTGACAATTTTGCATCACCATGCCCAACCTTAATCTGTTCCTTTCCGAACATATCCTACAGGACCCCAGAATTCTTCAGAGGGGCCCCAGGAACTACAAGAAATAAGGATGATGGACCATGTACATGGGCTTTGCTTTGGTGCCCCCACCTTGTGGACACTAACACATTTCTTTATTATGTTATATAGTACTGAGTGGGGGTGGGGGTGGAGGGGTGTTCTGTTGCTTTGAAAATCAGAGTCTCTCTGCCTTAATCCACTATGGGTTCTGAGCTGAGCAGGAAATAGCCTTGTGGTAGTCACTATATTGGCCTACGGAAGTGAATTTTGGGCAACAACAAACTAGTTCAATTCTGATGAGGTGAGTCAGTCATTCTGTATTAGAATGCCCACATGCTTGTCCTGGTTGTGCCCGGGGCAGGGAATCTTTGGGATGAGTCAGGGAAGCGCCAGTCTGATCCAGGTCTGTGCCTGTTCTGGTCTGTGGCCCCAGGGGCAGGTGTATGCTAGACAGAACAAAGCTGCTACTTCATCCAGTGCTTGGAGGAAAACTAGGAGCAGACCCAGGGCAGGAACTGCCCATGAGAATGACCTTGGGATCTGCCGCTCAGGTCAGCTCCGTAGACAAGGAGAGACACAGAAGGCAGAAGTGGGGTCCTGGAAGAGTGATCTGAGGCCCTACCACCTGTGTTTCCTTCCTCCTTCCAGGACCTGTCATCATCCAAACCGATGAGGCGAGCTCTGAAGTCCTGTATCCCAACTACCAGAACTGCTGGAGCCTGAGAGAGAAGACCAGGTAACAGGCTTTTCTAGTTCTTGCTGGCGTCTGCCAGTGCTCGGGCATTTCTAGGGTGCACTAAGACTGTATTCCAGAGCAGAAAGAATGGGGTTTCTACACAGATCTGAGTTATGCAATTAGTTTTGGTAAGATAGGTAGAAACATCAGAAGAATAGGATTTGGAAAATTTAGCCTTTTATTCTAGCCCTAATTCTTGCTAACTTACATTTATTTACAAGTCATTTAACTTCTTAGATCCTTAATTTGCTCATCTGTAAAATTGGAATAATATTGCTAACCACACCAGTTGTTGTAAGGATTACATGGGATCGTAAATGCTGAACAAAATACATTTTGTAAATTACTGATCACTGCTGATCACTGTACAGTAGTAATACAAGAGCTTGTGGTTTTTGGCAGAGGCCGGAAGAAAGCTGCCATTTTGCAGCCAGGGATCTCTGAGGATTTGGAAAAGGTGAAGGCAGGTGTGGGCATCAACAGTAGTGACGAAGTGGACTTCTTCGTTCTCCTGGACAATGTGGCTGCTGAGCAGGTGGGATAACTGTTTCCCCTGGGTCCTGAGTTTTTGGAGCCATGGGAATGAGCTGGCTCCTAACTTAGAGCTAGCTGGAAGCCCTCTGGTCTGAGGCTGTGCAATAGGATTTGCAAATGGGATGGATGTGGGGATCAAAGGGCCCCGAGGAACCAAGGAGGGATAGGAACACTCAGATGACTCCTCACTCAGGACCCAGACAGCCAATTCTAGATCAGTTTCTCAAAGTCTGTTTTCCACATCACCTGACCTGTATGTGTTTGGGAGAGTGGAGACTGGGTAGGGTTATGGTTATGAGAAAAGAATATGTTAACGAATATACATACCATTTTTTTCTGTGTATATATTCACCTGTGTGTGGAAACCAGAGGACAACCTCAGATGTCCTTCTGCATCCACCTTGGTTCTTGAGACAGTCTCTCACTGATCTGGAGCTTACCAAGGATGTTAGACTGTCTTCCCAGGCAACTCCAGGGATCCACCTGTCTCTGTACCCTAGGACTGGAATTGTAAGCTTGTACCGCTACAGCCAGTTCGGGGGATCAAACTCAGGTCCTCAAGCGTGCATGGCAACCACCTTACCAAGCGATCTGCCGTCCCAGCCCAAGCTTTGCCTTCTCTGAGACCCTGTCTAGCTCTGCGGTGTCTAAGAACTGCCTCCACTCTTTCTCTCTGAGTGCTGGCCTTACAGGTGTGCCCTGGCCATGCTCTACGAGTCAGTTTTACATTTAGCATTTCTTGGGGTCCAAAATCTTTGGGATTCCTCTTTATTCTGTCACTTTTTAGGGAGCCTGTATGAGTGTCAGCATATTTTAAAAATCTGAGCTAGGTGTGGTCCACATTCCTATAATCCCAGTATTTAAGATGCTGAGGCAGGAGGATCAAAAGTTGGAAGCTAGCCTGGCTACATAGTGAAATCCTGCCTAGTGTGTGTGTGTGTGTGTGTTGTGTGTGTGTGTGTTGTGTGTGTGTGTGTGTGTGTGTGTGTGTGTGTGTGTGTGTGTGTTAATTTATTTATGTGTAAGTCTGGGGCCGGGGCTGGTGACATGGCTCACTGGGTAGAGACGCTCACCTCCAAGCCAGACAACCTGCCTTTGACTCCCAGAAACCACAGAACTGATGCTCACAAGCTGTCTCCAGGTTCTCATGTGCTCAGTGTGGCACCCCGTCACTCACACACACTTACACGCGCACATACACAATCAGTCAATATCGGCCAGTGTAAAATTTTGAGATGTCTGTAAAGTAATCTGGTTAATCCACTAGTCTGTTTTCCTCAAATTGATTTAGCCGTAGAATCTTTTTATGTACTAAAAATATATTGTCCATATTACATTTTATGAATGCATATAACATTTTATGTAATATGTACATTTATTAAAATGCATTGAAATAGCTATTCCATCCCGTGCAATAATAGCATCACACAGTGGGAACCCTTCTGTGGATCGAAAGCCTGGATGCCCGAAGGCAGTGCCGGTCTGTTCCCTTCTCTACATCGATGGCGATGCCCCGGAGGCATCCCTCTGCCTGTGCTTATGTGTAGTAAATTTAAGGTTATATGGCAGTGGTTCATAAAAAGTATTCATATGGCATCCAGTTTCTAAAATCATTTTAGGGAAAATAAAAAATCAAATGAAAATTTTGAATTCCTTGATTTATATCTTGTTCCTTTTAAAAGTTAAAAATTATTGGCTTTTTAAAACTTGGAGCATATGGCAGCCATCATGATGTATGAAGCGGTCTTTATAATACCGTGCCTATACCGGGCTGGAGAGGTGGCCCAGTGGTTAAGAGCCCTGGCTGCTTTTCCAGAGGACTTGGGTTCGATTCCCAATGATAACCCACAGCTGTCTGTAACTCCAGTTCCGGGCCATCTGCACCCTCACACAGACATAGAGGCAGGCAAAACACCAATACACATAAAATAAAAATAAATAAATCTTAAAAACAACTGTATGCCCATAGATCTCGACTAATACGAAGTTTTAGCGGGCCTTGGGGACCTCGGCTCCCAGGAAGAAACTCGGAAGCTGACTGGTGGCCTTAGGAGGCAGGCAGTGTTCTCCTGTAACACTGCCGGGGGATCTTTACAGGTGCACAGCCTCCTGAGCTGCCCGGCGCTGAAGAGGTTTGCCCAGATGATTGAACAGAGGGCTGTGGAAACAGCCTTGTACACGCTGCAGCAGGAAGACAGGTGAGAGGCGAGGGACAGGGGAGGGCTGTCCTTAAGTCACACACGGGCAGTGGTGGCCTGGGTGTCATCAGGCCACCTCACATGTGAAAAGCCCCTCCCTGCTAGCCTACCCTCAGTCCTCTGCTCTTACTTCTGAGCTGCGGCTGGTGACCTGGACCTCCACCGAGTCTCCCGCTCTTCCTTCTGCTTCACTTTGCAAAAGGTTGAGTGGAGGAGGAGGTCATTGTGCTGCACTCACTCGGTTGACCGCAGCTCGGTTAACAAACAGTCCCCCGTTCCCACCTGGGTGGGAGGCATCCCTTATTCTTTGCTGCCTTCGTAGGTAAAGGAGCTAGACAGAATCCACAAAGTCCTGTTCGATCCGATCCTTAGCACTGCTCCGGAGGGAGGACAGGGCAGAGAGAGCTGGCTACTTTTCCTGGGCTCATTTGGCAGGAGGCAGAGCTAGGACTTGGTCCCAGATCCTCTGACCCATTTGCTGTGTCTTGTTGGTACTTGGATTCTGTTCCGGAATGCCCTCTGCTTTGCTTTTTTTTTTTTGGCTGAGAGCGTTGGGTTTGCAGTAAGGATAGGTGACTTGGACTTGGCAGCGGTTAAGACAGAGGGAAGGGTAAATCTGGGGCTGTGCTGGGGGAGGGGAGCGGTTAACATTCCAAGAATCTGCGGGGTCTGTTGCATGAAAAAAGAGCCCCTGGTCACATTGGCTTGGAGTCAGCCTGCCCCCGTCTGTGCAGTAGCCTTGGGCATCCAGAAGTTCTCCAGCCAAGCTGCTCAGCTGCCCCTCCCGGGCACGCAGCAGCTTCCAAGTGTTGTTCATGAAGTGGTCCCAGCAGACCTAATCCACCACGCCCGCCCTCCCTCCTGCCAGTCCACACCTAAACACACTGGGTGGATACCTCAGGGTCCGTGGGCCATGCCTGCTCTATTGCAACTTCATCTGTGCGCATCATGAAGCCGCCGTGGGGAATATGCACACACAAATGGGCATGGGCACATGCCAGTAAAACTTGATGAGAACGGGCAGGCAGCTTGTAATTTGGCTGCGCCACGGCCTGCTTCCTTCAGACCCATCGTTCTTTCCATTTATATCCGTTTCATAAAGCTGACGTTTTCTTCAAGGATAAATGGTAACAATGTTGCCATGCAGTCTGGCTTGTCTGGCCCTGTACCTGGCAGGTGCATGCCACATGCAGTATTGTTTGCCTCCCCCATGGATTCCTACCATCCCTTCAGTCACAGAGGTTGCAGTTTCTAAACTAGATCTCCACCGATCATGTCGGCCGCCTCCTCTTTTGTGCGGTTGAGTGCTGGGACTCCTAAGAGTGGTAGGTTTAACTTTTAGTTTTTAGAGCGCCTTCCTCCCCGCTCCAATAAAAAGTGTGAGGCACACTCACACACCAGTCTTTTGTCACTTGCCAGCCTCTCTTTGCTTTGCTTGTGAGAGGACAGGTGTTGCGGCACAGTTACCTGCGGTCACCGGATGACCCAGAGAGAAAGTGGTGGGGGCAGAGCTCCCAACTCCCAGAGTTAAAGGAGAGTCTTTCCTGTGATTCAGCTCCAGAAGGTAGAGCGCATGCAGGGACAGTTAGCAGGTGTCCTTCCAGGGGTCTTCCCGGATTTCTGAGTCTGGTTACCTCTGCTCTTCCCGGCTCTGCTTTTATTCCTCCGTGCATACTTCCTTTTGTTTTTTTACATTTATTTGTCCTGTGTGTGCACATGCATGGGTATGACATGCACACATGTGGAAGTCAGAGGACACCTTGGGAGCAAGTCACTCCTTCCACTACATAGCTTCCCCATTTCTAATGAGGCTGGGAAGTGCGTGCCTCCACCCCCCTGGGCCCTGTCCCAGCCCAGGGCCTCATCCTTCACAACTTCCAGCTCCCTGAGTGTCTCCAGCTCAGCAGCGTTCGTGGCAGCTGTGCGTCCTGATGTGTTTATTGTTGGAAGTCTCTTTTTCACAGCGCACCCCCTAAGTTGATGCGAAGCTATTTCTCCCCCACCCTTGCTGTGCCCCCCCCCACCTTACTTACCTTCTTCTTCTCTGCGTCGTCGTCTGGCTGTGCTCCCGAGATCCTCAGAGGCAGAACTGATGCCTGTCCTGGGTGCCGAGTGCCTGCTGGGTGCTTGAACGTTACTCACATCTCGCAGGGAAGGCATCCAGATGGCCGTGGGCCCATTCCTACACCTCCTGGAGGGAAACCTGCTCAAAGCTGCGGACCCCACGACCCCATCCAGCAAGACCAGGTACCCGGCACAGTGACTGCTTATGCCAGGGAGGGCCGAGGGGGCCTCTGGCTGCAGGGAGGGACCCCAGGGTATGGGTCAAGAACCAGGCTGTCAGTGGCCGCAAGGAAATGCTTCCCAGGCCATGTGTCCCCAGGCAGGTGACAACGTTTTTACTTTTCCAGCTCTAGCTTCCCACGCCTGTTCTTACTTTAATGTCTCAAAGTTACTTTCCTTTTCTAAAAACTAACTGGATACATTAATATCATACTGGCTAACTGGATACATTAATATCACACTGGTTAGTTTGATACATTAATATCACACTGATTTGCTATCTTAGTAGTCCAAACCAATGCTGACTTAGTTCGAATCCTTTATTCGGTGTACAGAAGATGTGATCAGTGTACATTTTAAAATATTGAAAATGGCTCATGGGCCTCCATCCCCACTTTGCCAGAGCCTGGGACCCCAGGTCGGGACCCCAGATTTGGAATGGCATGTGTCCCGGGCACTTGGCGAGCAGACGGTGGTCTGCCAACAGTGCTGTAACCTGGAGACGTGTCCCAGGGCCCTCTCTGTCCGCCTGAGGCAGAAGCTAGATGCCCCTTGATGCTGAGGTACTGCTTGGGCATGAAGACAGGGGTGGGGTGGGGGGGACAGGGCTAAAAGCCCACAGTGAGTGTGAGAGGGGCGGGGAGCCGAGTTCCTAGGGGTGAAACAGGCCTGGAAGTTGGGGCAGGATTGCTAGGTGCCGTGTCACCATGTCCCTCGCCGCCCTTCACCGCCCTGCGGTGGCACTGCGTCCGCCGTGCCTTCCGCTGCCTTGCCGCTCTGCGCCTGGTGTCTGAGGGAGGGTCTGGTGCCAGTCTCCCAGGCGGAGAGCCGGTGAAGTCCTTGGCCATCCTGAAGAGGGACGTGCTGCCGTCACGCAGATACCATAAAACGGCTTATTGTATTACTGACTAAAACTGCTTGGGAAAGGTGTTGAAGACCAATCAGCTTACAGCCTTTGGAAGTTAATTAAAATGCCCACATCTGCAGGGAGCAGGGGTTGCCCTAATATACGCATGTAGCCAAGAGTAGGTAGGGCGTCAGCCATGGGTGGCAGGACCCAGAGGCAGAACAGAGGTTCGGACCGAGCCACAGAAGGAGATCTGTTTCTCCTTTGAAACTCCCAGCGGGGAGGGGAGAAGGGGAGGGGGGGGAGGAAGCGAGGAGAGTTACTCCAGGGGTCTTTCTCCATGAGACGTGGGTGGGCGTAGGTCCTCACCATCTGCTTCTGAGGCGTTTTAAACCAGCTCAGCCGGCTGCTAGCGGCCCCCCGTTTCTGAGGCAGCTGCTGTTTTTCCACTCAGAGGAGACAGGTAGCGTTCTGGCCTCCTGACCCCGGAAGCAAGCCGTTGTGGAGAACCATTTGGAGAACCATTTTCTTCTTGCAGGAAGCTGTACCTGTATGCAACCCACGATGTAACCCTCATGCCTATCCTAATGGCCTTGGGGATTTTTGACCACAAATGGCCTCCGTTTGCTGCTGACCTGACCATGGAACTCTACCAGCATCAAGAATCTAAGGAGTGGTTTGTGCAGCTCTCTTACCACGGGGAGGTAAGAGCTCCGAGGTGGGGATGGTGGTGGCTGAGCACCCTATCCCCTCACACCGGGTTTAGTGTCGGGTGTCTCTTCTCGGGCCCAGCGGCGTCCCGAGTGGTAGCCGCAGCTGTCTGAATCCCATAGAGCCTAGGGCAGTAGTCAGCCTGTGGTAGCAAGGTACAGCATGGCCACATCTCAGTCCTGTTACAGATTCCTTCCAGGAACAGGGCTGCTCGCCAGCCTTCCCGAGTGTGTTTGCCAGGCACACTGTGAGGCCCAGGTTTGGAAGCCACTGAGGTGTCTTTATTGCCAGCATCTTGGTGTCTTGGGCGACCCATGGCTGCTGATGTCCAGGAGAGAGGCTGAGCACTCTCCGGGGAAGGGACTGTGAGCTCTTCCAGCTCAGGACCAGAATTCAGCGAGGCTTTCCCAGTCTATCCAGCAGTCAGCACGCAGGGCTTTTTATTCTGGGAACTGTTGGGGGTAGTGGTGTCTTCCTGGCTGTTGCATGTGTGCTCATGTATACTGCTTGAATGAGGCTGCTGGGCTCAGCTGAAGAGAACAGAAGGATGAGTCCTCTGCAGACCTGCTGAGTTCTGTTTCTTCCACAGGAGCAAGTGCCAAGAGGCTGCCCCGACAAGCTCTGTCCACTGGACAAGTTCCTGAGCACCATGTCACTTTATGCTGTGAGCCCAGAGAAATACCGCACGCTCTGCTCCCCAGCACGAACAATGGAACTCGGAGAGTGACTCATTTACACAGACAGGTTGATTTTTAAATAAAGTGCCTTTATATAAAAGAGTGTCATGTTGAGATCAGAGGAGCTTGCTCTACTTTGTCACATGATTTCTTATTTTTGTGTCTGAATGTTTTGCCTGTATGTAAGTCTGGTACCATTTGCATGCCTGGTGCCCCATGGAAGCCAGAAGGTGTTGGATCTCCTGGAACTAGAGTTAGAGATGGTGGCGAACTGCCATATGGGTGGTGGGAACCAAACCCTGATCTTCTAGAAGAATAACCAGTGCTCGTAACTACTGAGCCATCTCTCCACCCTCATGACATGATTTCTAAGGTCAGAGCGTTGGCGTGAGCCTGGGGAATTGTGTTGCTTTGGGACTTCAAGATTTTTTTTTTTTTTGGTCAACTTTCCTTGGGCTCTATTCATGGTTATCAAAAAGGTGGCAATCGATGGCTTATAGTGCAGTGGGGTTTTTTGTGTTTGTTTGTTTGTTTGTTTGTTTGTTTGTTTGTTTTAGGATTTATTCATTTATATATACAGCAGTCTGTCTGCAGGCCAGCAGAGGGCACCAGATCTCATTACAGGTGGTTGTGAGCCACCATGTGGTTGCTGGGAATTGAACTCAGGACCTCTGGAAAAGCAGCCAGTGCTCTTAACCTCTGAGCCACCTCTCCAACCTTAGTGCATATGTTTCTTAAGCTATGACAATGTATTATGTGGGTGTTCTGAACATAGAAACAAACCTGCTCCTCCTGGTAGGGGCTCACAGACAAGCCAAGAAGCCTTCTGGGAAATTCTGTCTTGGTCTAAGTAGACATGGGATAGTCGAGTCAAGTTCAGCATTCATCAGTAAATACAGTACAGAACGTAAATAGACGTAAGGACAGAAATCAGGCAGTCATCTCAATAGATACTGAAAGCCTTCTGGCGAAGTCTGTCGTTCCTTATGATTAAGGCCCTGAAGAAACTGGGAATAGAAGAAACACCTCGGCATAGTAAAGGCTGCATACAACAGACCTATAGCTAACCTATAGTAAATGAGGAGAAGCTGGAGTCAGAAGTAAGGCAAATGTGTCCACTCTGTTTACCCAACATGTTGCTTGAAGCCTCAGCTAGAGCCAAAAGGCACACAAACAGGAAAGGAAGAAGCCAGATTATCCAAATGCAGACGACATGGTCCTGTACTTAGAAAACATAAAGACTCACCAGAAAAACACTTAGCAAAGTAGGATAGAAAGCCAACATCCAGACATCTGCAGCCTTTTTAATATAACAATAACAGGAAATCAGAAAAATAGTCTTAATCACAATAGCCTCAAAAATAAAAATCATTTAGAAAACTAAAGAGATGAAAGACCTTGTCCCGGCTAGATTTTATTGTCACCTTGGCAGAACTAAGTACCTGGGAAGGGGGAGTCTTGATGGAGGGACCGCCCAGGTCAGATGGGTCTGTTACAGGATGGTGGGGCATTGTCTTGCTTGCTGATGATGTGAGAGGGCCCAGACTACTGTGGGTAGTGCCCCCCTGAAGACAGAGGGTCCTGGTTATGTAAGAAAGCTGCTTGGGCGGTAACATGGAGCAAGCCAGAAAGAAGCATCCTCCGTGGTTTCTGCCCGTGTCTCCACCTTCGCAACCCTCGGTGATGGACTCTGACCTACAAGTATAAGATGAAACATACCCTTTCCTCCCCGAGTTGCTTGGTCTTGGTCTATCACAGCAACAGAAAGCTAACTAGAACAGGCCTCTACCATGAAAACCTTAAAACACTAAGAAACCAAAGACAGTAGATGGACGGGCTTCTCCTGTTCACAGATCCACAGTATCAATACTGTGGAAATGGACACACTCTCAAAAGCAGTCCCCAGAGTTACTGCAAACCCCACAGAATTCCAGTGACAGTCTTCACAGAAACAGAAAAGACAACCCCAAAGTTGACACAGAAGCTCCCAAATAGCCAAGGCAGTACTAAGCAAAAAACAGTACTGAGGGTACCATGATACCCCAAGTCACACTCCAGAGCCATGGTATGAAAACCAGCATGGTACTGGTACAAAACCATACAGAAAACAGTGGGATGGAATGGAAGACCCAGACAAACCTATGTGGCTACAGGCACCCAGTTTTTGGCAAGGGTGTCAGAAACCCTGCAGAAAAGACACATTTCAGAAAATTAGTGCTGGAAACACTGGATGTTCATAGGTAGAAGAATGAAGCTAGATCCCTATCTGTCACCTTGTACAAAATCAATTCAAAATGGAGAAATGGCTTTGGAGGCCTGAAGCTCAGACTCTGTTAGTGGGAGAAAAATATGAATGCAGAGGCACCAGGGAGGATTTCCTGAAAAGGATTCTGTAGCTCAAGAAGAAGTTGAAAGTGGCAAAGGGGGTTGCATGACATCAAAAGCCCTCCACACAGCAGAGGAGGCAATGAGAGACAGTCAACAAAATGGAGAAAATCACTGCCAGTCTGACAGGGCACTAACACCTAGTCTATATAAAGAACCCCAGAGAAATTAAATACCTCCCAACACACACCTAACAAACCTCTGTGCTGGTTTGAATGAGAATGGTCCCCATAGGCTCATGTTTGGATATTTGGTCCCCAGGTTGGTGGAACTCTTTGGGAAGGATTAGGAGGTGTGGCCTTGTTGGAGGAGGTGTGTCACTGGGGATGGGCTTTGATGTTTCAAAAGACTCCTGCCATTTCCAGTCGTGCTTCTGTCTGTCTGTTGCTGCGCGCGCGCGCGCGCGCGCGCGCGCACACGCACACACACACACACACACACACACACACACACGCAGTTTAAGATATGAGCTCTCACCGGGTGGTGGTGGTGGTGGTGGCGGCAGTGGCACACGCCTTTAATCCCAGCACTCGGGAGGCAGAGGCAGGCAGACCTTTGTGAGTTCGAGGCCAGCCTGGTCTACAGAGCGAGATCCAGGAAAGGCGCAAAGCTACACAGAGAAACCTTGTCTCGAAAAACAAAACAAAACAACAACAACAAAAAAGATGTGAGCTCTCAGCTATGTCTATGGATTTACCTTTGCTCCACCATCATGGACTCTAGCCCTCTGAAGTCATAAACCCAGATGAAGCACTTTCTTTTCTATGTTGCCTTGGACACGGTCTTTTATTGCGGCAGTAGAAAAGTAACTACGAACAGTTCAGTCGGTGAGTGGGCATGCCTTGACAGTGAAGTAGAAGTGCCTTGAAGTCTATGAAAAAGAAGGTTCAACAACCATAACCCTCGTAAGACAGTGAAAAACCGCATCGAGATTTCGTCTCAGTCCAGTCAGGAAAGCTATAACTAAGTCAACCAACAACAAATGCCCGTAAGGATGTGGGGAAAGGAAGCCATATACACTGCTGTTGGGAACAGAAACTAGTCCAGCCTGTGTGGAAATCCCAAAGATGTTCCTCTACAAACTAGGACTGGATCTGCCATCCAATGCAGCTCTACCGTGAGGTGTATTCCTGAAGCATCCCACAGAGGCGCCTGGACATCCATGTTTTCTGTGTACTGTTCTCATTGGCTAAGATATGGAACCAGACTAAATCCATCAATGGAGGAATGGAAAAGGAGAATGTGGGTGTGCAGACACAACCTAGTTCTATTCAGCCATCAAAAGAACAAGGTGGCATTGTTTGCCAGAAAGTGGTGGATCAAACTGTAGATCAAACTACATAAGCCAGATTCACAAAGATGTTTTCTCACGTGTGTGTGTGTGTGTGTGTGTGTGTGTGTGTGTACATGTTAATTATAGATCTAAAGATAGATGATGTGAAAGAAGAGGACCATATAGGAAAAGGAAAGGGAGGAAGGGTAACTGGAGACAAACATACGGTATGATTGGATGAAATATCGATGAAGACTGTTACTAGAATACAATGAATATACACTAATATAAAAAGGTAGGGACATGGCCGAGTGGCGAGAACTTCACCTTACACAGGGCAGCCATGAATGCCTGCTGCGGCTGATGGTCCGGTTTCCTTGTCAACATTCCCATTCTTTCCCAGAATCAGTTTCAAACGTGTGATGATTTCACACCACCAACTTCTCAGCCAGAGTGAGCCGCCAGGAGAGCCTCCCTCCCTCCCCACGGCTGTCTGTGAAACACCCGCTGAGATGGGGAGCCCAAGCCTAGCCCTGGCAGCTTCAGACTGTCCTGTGCTCTTGCTTGTCCCGTAGACAGGATCTTCCTTGAGAAAATCCCTTTCCTCCTCTAAACCTGCTCCCACGGGCTTCCGTTCCACCCGGCCCTGAAGGGAAGGCTCCAGTCTTCCAGTCGCTAACTAGAAACCGGACGGTGTTTCCGCTCACGTCATCCTGTGTTGTCAATTAAGTTCTACCAGGCTACCAGCCTGTTTCCCGAATCTGTTTACATCTCTCCATCTTGTCTCCGGTGTCCTGCCCACCCTCACTCTGCTGCTTGCTGCAAACCTTATTTCCCTAAGAAAGGGAAAACAGAAAAATGTTCACATCTCTGCCTCGTGACCCCCTCTTCCACCCTCCCCCTCTCCTCCCTCCTTCCTGTTACTAGAACCTTCCTTCCTTCCACCCCAGGCCAGCCTTCCAGCTTTGCCTTTCTGCATCCTCAGAGTTCTTTTCCCATTAGCATACAAATAAGCTATAAAATCTCCTGTCTTAAAATTTCTCCTCATCATTCAGCTAAGCCATTTTCCTCTCCAGCAAGGCTGTTCAAACAGTTGCCATCTCTGATTCTTCTTATTAGGTATTCACCCCCAAGCTCCATGGAGACAGCCCTTGTCAAAATCGTCAGTGACCCCTCTGGCAAATCCAGGAGCCAATTTTCAGTGTCTTCCTCGGCTCATCAGCATTCTGGGCGTCTTCTTCTTTCGGCTTCCAGGGCACTCTCTAGCTTCCTCCACTTCCTTAACTTGTCTGTTTTTTGCTGAATGCCCCCTTCCCTGATCTCCAAGCGTTAAAGGGTCCCGAACTTAGTTTGGGGACCTTTTTTCCCACCTCTCCTCCTGCGCTCACCCCCAAGTACTGTAATTTTAAATATCAACTGGACAATGCAATTATTCTTTGGTTTCACTTCTTTTTACTCGGT